AAGAGATGGGATGAGGTCAATCAATACAGATTTCACAAGAGAATGAAGATGAAGAGGAGCAGAGTGCTCCCTGTGTCTAACATGCATTGATAGACTGTTTGGTAGAGCAGGAACTGAATGTGACAAACCAGATTAACCTCTTACTGATTTTTATTTTATTCAAGAAAGTGCAGTTTACCCAATCATTAATATAGTTTGCTAAAACTGAAAGATAACTTCTCACTGAACCCACAGTATAACAATCTAAGCTTTCTATTTTTGTGCACTGAAGTTTAGCCAGCACAATTTTAAGACAATAATAGTAAATATAGCAACATTCATGGCAATTTGTTTCGGTAAGGACAAAGAAGGAAATTAAAGAGAGGGAGAAAGACTGAGACACAAGAGGTTGCCAATCACTGGAGTGAAATCACAAAGGGGGCCTGTCATGAAACACTGTCACCACGCTAGAGTGGTAACAAAAGCAGGCAGGGATGTAAAATGATTTACCTTATTCTGCCCTGACAAAACAAAGATGCTGTCAGTTTTCAGCAGGTTCATCATGTTTTGAAAGACAAAAGCGTGGAAGAAGTGATAACATGACAAACTTGTAATTGTTTTGGCACGCCTCCAACGCGGCGGCCCCAACACGTCCATCATTACCACTTCTTCAAACACTGCGACAGGCCTGTTCTCAGAACGGAACAAATTAACAGATATCAGATGAGACAAGAGTTTGCTTTCTCGGGACAAGATCAGACGCGAAGTGGCATCCTGTAGAGACACTTCAGGATTAAACATCAAACATCTGTAAAATGTAGAAAACGTTCTTCTGTAATGATGAAACAAAAGCTTTTTTTTTTTTAATTATTCAGTTTTTAAAGCCTTTAAAGGTCAAATGGTCATTAAACTGACTGCATCCTTAAAAAGCATATAAACCTTCAATTTAAGTGTGAGGCAGCTTTACATTTATCCCCTGCAACATCAGCGCTCTCCTGACGAGAGCGAGAACGACAGACAGCCAAATGAATAATGAACACGAAAATAAACAAGAACAAACATTTTCTGTTTCAAAACTGACAATTAACGTGTTATTCTCAGTGAGGTCACACAGGGATTTGTATTTATGGATTATATGGATCGTTAAAATCTACACAGGGATACAAACAGAAATCTGTCAAAAGCAGGATAAGAGTCTGCAGCCATGCTGACAGCTCTGTGAGGCTGCGGTGCCTGAGGGAAATGTTGAAGCTAGCGCTGAACAGACTGGCGATACCAACACGAATTCAATTCAGTTCAAAATCATAGCAAAAAACCATCGCAAGGCAACTGAGTAAGTAAGGTCTACCTTACAGTATTATAAAGAGCAGGTATAATGTTACTGTGTTTACCATGCTAACAACTGTTAATTAGCACTAGACACAAAGCACAGCTGAGGCTGATGGGAATGATACTTTATGGCAATCTACCCAATAGTTGCTGGGACACTGCACTCAAAACAACAAATGTGAACCTCATGGTCACTCCAGGAGAAAAGTCAGAGGATTGACGAGTAATTTTTCCTCTTGGTACCATGAATGTCTAAACCAAACACCTGTAAAATAAAGAAAGAAAGAAACAGAAATGTAGAGATGTGTGACTGTGCTCTTCTTCTGGCTAACTCAGGACTTGCTGCTCTACAGAACACAGGTGGCCACCACAGCTTTGGATAGAAAGAGAGAAAAGCTGAGGGACAGAGGTAGCTAAAACAAAAGGAGGATCCCTAAGAGCCTGTGAGAACATGAGCCAAGATGTACAGGTAAAATGCAACAAGCCAGAGGGAGAGAAACGGGAGGAGAAGAAGGATGAGCGGTAGAGGAGTTTTATGAGTGCTGACATGCTGCGTGTTGAGAGGAAACATGCACAGACAGCCCTGTCAGTGCTCAGCTCCACCGAGAGCCACCTGGGAATCCTGCTGAGGCCCTAAATGCAAAATTACAAAAAGCACACACACACAGATGCACTCTAATAGTAGGCCATATTTAACACCAGGATGAACTGAATGGCATCTGTCTGACTCACTGCCAGATGTGAAAAACACAAGCGACAGCAAAAGCAAATAATTCAGAACAGTGACACACACACATGCAGAGTCAAGTGAGTATGTATTGATCTGTTTAATTAAGTCTCAACTCCTGTTACCCCTGGCAACACTCCCTCTATGCTGCAGCGATAGTCGCCATGGCAACAGAAGACGGAGGACCACTCTTTGTTAGCACTGGATACTCAGGCTTGACAATCATACAGAACGACACCACATTGGCTGGAGGAGGAGAGCAGGTCAGAGGAAGTCCAAAAGATTTACCAGAGTCTGGACTGTCCCGAGCAAGAGTGGACTTGTTTAGTAAAGTAGGGCTGTACAGATACCACATCTTTTCAGACCGAGTACGAGTACAGAGCTTTACTTTTGCTATTGACTCTTAACATTCCTCATCCTTCACCTAACAACCTGCTCAACCAGTGTGAGGTTGACATAGTGTCGCCATTAAGTGGCATTGGTGTATGGGACGACCATTATGAATACGAGCAAACAAAGCTGATGAGAGCTGAGAGACTGAATCAAAACAACAACGCCGTGGGCCCTAAAACCAAAACAATGAGATGAATGAGGCTGAAAAGCTCTGCACAGCCGAGAGTGGAGTCAGGGTTCATTGTCTAATATACTGTTATTATGAAATACTGTCACTAGCAAATTTAGAAAAATGTTGAAGTGTGATGAACTTACAAAGAAAATGCAATAAAATGTAAATAATAATAATAATCTTCAATAGAGTATTATCGATGTGTAAATAGGTGAACCTGCTTCCATGTTTCAAATTGTCACTTACTTCACTGTCACATTTGCATAAATCTCCCACCGCTCACACACAAATATAAACAAACAATAGGCCCATTCTCTGCTATCAACACTCCACTCACAGTTATACTGAAGAAATTCACACCTATTACACTGAGGCCTCTGCAGTGACCAACAGTCGCAAGCTGCCAGTGGCTCCCAGGAAAATGTGTCTGTGTGTTTACAGAGCTGTTTGTCTGTCTCCAGCCTCGGATGTTTGTGATGAATAATAATTTGGACTTTGTCAACTTATCTGATTTAAAGAGTGGGTGAGTCACAGCTGGCGTCAGACGGAGGATCATAAAACTGGTAAATATGGTCGGCTGACCTCTCCTCCCATGATATGACTGAGGCAAACAACCACTTTGATTTTGGGTTATAGTTAACCATCTCACAAATTTACACTGTAAAAAATTGTTTAAAGAAAAGGTCATATTCTGGTAGCTGGGGTGCCACAATATTAGAGAAAATAACCATCATCTAAAACACACTAATTTCCCATAATTCTAAATATTTTTTCCTTTTACTCTTAAATGAAATCTTGTGTATTTAAAGGTTTTTTCGTGTAAAAAAAAAAAAGATGCAAACCTTTAAAGCTCAGGAATTTCCCCTTTATAAAAAATGATAAAACAGATCATTGTAACCAATATATTTGAATATACTGCTGATTTTCTAATATATGTAAAGTAATATTAGTGAGATTCACTGTAGCTTCACAAAAGTCAGCTCTGTTAAAGCCATTTTATACCAAGGAGGTTCAAAGACAGCACGCAGGGCTTTGTTAGATATTAAATGTACGAGTGCAGAAACTGAAGCCAATGCTAAACAAATCATGGTCTGCATAATTTTTTGTCAAACTGGGAAAAAAAAGAGTTTTAACTCTCATGCAATGCATGCTGGGTAATCTGCTAGTTCAAAATGCGAAGCAGTAAATGGTAAATATTTGTAAAATGATTATGAAATTGTAACTAACTTTTGTGAAAAAAGGGAAATCTTTTTTTTTTTTTTAAAGAGAACTTTATAATAATTCACAGCAACAAGATTTTCCTGTTGTTTTAATTATGGCGTTTAGTTTCACAGTGTATTTTTGTAGTTTTATTACCATATGTTGTAAATACAGGGGAAATGTGTAAAACTTTTTTTCCAGGCTCAGTTTTTAGCTGAACACATAGCAGCTCTCATGAAAACAAGAAACTATAAAAACAGAAATGAATCTCCACTGGTACTTAACGCTAATATTCTGACAGTGAATGACTGATGTTATACCAACAGTAAAAACGATGCGGATTGTGCTGATGAACTGTCCAATTTGTGTACAAATCCCACCTAGTCCC